GAATGACATGATTATCAAAAATTTTTTATAGTTACTTCTAGTTCAAGTTGAGTGTATATAATTAGAATGTGATGAATGATACGATTATCAACAATTTTTTATAGTTACTTCTAGTTCAAGTTGAGTGTATATAATTAGAATGTGATGAATGATACGATTATCAACAATTTTTTATAGTTACTTGTAGTTCAAGTTGAGTGTATATAATTAGAATATGATGAATGACATGATTATCAACAATTTTTTATAGTTACTTCTAGTTCAAGTTGAGTGTATATAATTAGAATGTGATGAATGATATGATTATCAAAAATTTTTTATAATTACTTATTGTTCAAGTTGAGTGTATATAATTAGAATGTGATGAATGATATGATTATCAACAATTTTTTATAGTTACTTCTAGTTCAAGTTGAGTGTATATAATTAGATGGGATGAATATGATTATTTCTTTAGCAGTTTTTTCAATTTCAAGACTGAGTGTATGTGGTTTGAATAAAAGTAACAATTATAAATATTGACTGAAGACTAGGTTTCTGATAACATCTAGATGTGGTGACATAAGAAACATTTCACATGTGATGTTATGTTTCACAAGTTGACTTGGAGCTGTGGTGGTTTGTTTCACAAGTGGACTTGGGGCTGTGGTGGTGGTGTGTTTCACAAGTTGACTTGGGGCTGTGGTGGTGGTGTTTCACACAGATATTAGTCAGTTTTTGTTTTTTTATCAATCTTACGATGCTGGAACTTGCCTTTAGTTAGAAATTATATTCATACAGATATTTACTTTACCTCAATTTCATTAATTTTCTGACAAATGACTGGAATGTTCTAATTTTTTATTATGATTTTAAAAGTTGTATAGTCACATTTTGACACTAATGAAACCTTTATGGTATTCATATCCCAGGTTATTGAGTAAAAAGAAAAAAACAGGATGAAGTTGCTTTTCTAAAGGTTATTTACAATGTTTGTTAAATGATTCAGTATGTTTTATAATGTTTTCTTTATTCTATCTAAGAAGTATTTAAGAAAGTAGATGAATATTGTATTGAAGGAGTTGAAAAATATTGTAAAAACATAAATACAAAATATACGAATGTTATAACGAGGAAGTTCAAAGATGGTGTAGAAACGTGTAAAAAAAGTGGAAGAACATTGTGTAGATGAACAGGGTGTAAAAAGTGGAAGAACATTGTGTTGATAAACAGGGTGTCAAAAGTAGATGAATCTTTGTTACTGTTTTTTCAGGCGTGAAGAAATAAAAGAAGCACTTGTAGCAGGAGAATCTTTAATGTGTTTGACAAGTTTTCCCAGGTAAGGCTGCAAATTGAACAACATCAAATACTATACAGATCCTGTTTTGTGTGTTGTTCAAAATTCCATAGGGTGTCAAGGTGTCATATGAAATATTTGTAATTAGAAGTTGGGCCAATTAGAGGGGGTGGTGCAGGAGGGCCATTTGGTCCAGGCCTCAAGCTCAAAGGGGGCCTCAAATTTAGACACTTGTTTTTTTGTGACTTGTTTTTATGTGCCTACCAGTCAGATCAAAATGTGACACACACACACACACACACACCTTACAGATGCAAATTATATATTCAAATTATGTTTCACTTTTATTTTGGGCTGATAATTGTCTTATTTTGTTTTCATATTTATTTTTATTATTTTAGCCTGGGGGCTCAAAAATTAGAAGTGGTCTTGGGCTTCTGTGAACTTCTGAGAGGCCTGATTAGAAATATATTAAGTTTTGAGGATTTTCCCATTTTCAGAACTATAAGCTTAATGAAATTTACTGTTTAAACACCCAGCTTTCCAACTATACAAAGATCTGGATCAAAAGGAGAGTTAGTTTTTTAAAGATCTGGATCAAAAGGAGAGTTAGTTTTTTGTGTTTAAACACCCAGCTTTCCAACTATACAAAGATCTGGATCAGAAGGAGAGTTAGTTTTTTGATAATCTTGGATGATTTTCAACTTTCATTAAAATTTATTTGGGAAATTTCATCACTAGTTCATGTTTCATTTTTTGCATGGTAACTTTTAACCACCCATGAAGAACAATTAAATATAAATCAATAAAAAAGTTTTCTATGTTTAACATATGGTATTGTTTTGCTAACTCTCAAGTACATGCAGTTCTACATATGATTTGGAACCTTAAGCTATAGAAATGTCAAGAATTTTTAGCGATTTTAGTCAGCCAGAATAAAATTAGCAAAGATCATGACAGATCCAGTTAATCTGAACACACAATTAGCACAGATCACAACAGAGCCAGTTAATTTGAACACGCAGTTAGCACAGATCACAACAGAGCCAGTTAATTTGAACACGCAGTTAGCACAGATCACAACAGAGCCAGTTAATCTGAACACGCAGTTAGCGAAGATCACGACAGAGCCAGTTATCTTAATTATGATGCAGAAAGATACAGATGTGTACAGAATATCATGTTTTCAAGCAAGACTTAATTTGGGTACTATTCTTTTATGGTTAAGAAGAAAATTAATACAATATTAAATCGCTCTATTATAAAGTTTATTTAAAAATGTGACTTCAAAACAGAGATGGGACTAATACTAGACAAAAAGTGACAATAATTTGAGCTTTAATTAGAAAAGAAAAAAATAAGATAACTAAATTTTCAGTAAGTTTTTACTCAGCCTTGGAGGTGTAATGAATAATAAGAAAACAATATAATATGAATTTCTCACTATAGATGTTGGAGAATTGACCAATAGTATTCATTTATTGCCTTAAACTATACCCAGTGTTAAAAATATGTAGGTGTGAGCCAAGATGGTTATCAATCTATTGATTGTTAAACTTAACTATTAGAGCTTCTTTAAATTTTCTTAATGTAGACTTTTTTTTTGTTGGTTAAGATTTAATAGTGTCAGTTGTGTTAGAATGTATACATGTGTACAAAGAGGATCAAATACATGAGTGTACTTATGTTCCTGGACTATGGTGTTTAGGTGTTTTCCCGCTGTGTATGGCATTGCAGTGTTGATATTTAACTTGTAGTATAGTTGTCCATCAACTCAAATGTTCACATTACATTGGTGACCACAAAATTACCTATGCTAATCAATGCATAGGTAAACACTAGATTGTTTATGTTAACTACTGAGTTGGCAGGCTCTAGATTGTCTAGATTGAGTACCATGTTGGTGGGTGCTAGATTCTCTAGGTTGAGTACCGTGTTGGTGGGTACTAGATTGTCTAGGTTGAGTACCGTGTTTGTGGGTGCTAGATTCTCTAGGTTGAGTACCGTGTTGGTGGTTGCTAGATTCTCTAGGTTGAGTACCGTGTTGGTGGTTGCTAGATTCTCTAGGTTGAGTACCGTGTTGGTGGTTGCTAGATTCTCTAGGTTGAGTACCGTGTTGGTGGTTGCTAGATTCTCTAGGTTGAGTACCGTGTTGGTGGTTGCTAGATTCTCTAGGTTGAGTACCGTGTTGGTGGGTGCTAGATTGTCTAGGTTGAGTACCGTGTTGGTGGGTGCTAGATTGTCTAGGTTGAGTACAGTGTCGGTGGGTGCTAGATTGTCTAGGTTGAGTACCGTGTCGGTG